GGGGGAGGAAATTGATACTATAGCATGAACAAAGGAAATATAAAAGTATTTTTTCAATCTGTCTCTCCTTCTCAATCATACTCATTATCTAACAAACTGTATAACTTTATATCATAACCAGCTTGGATACCCAGCGTGAACTGGAAACTTAACTTTCCCTAAAATAGTGAACCCACTGAACTTGGAATCTTTAAACCCAGCTAACTCAACTATAAACTCACTTAACTCTTTACTAACGTATATTTCATTCTCTCTCGGTGCACGATAGTGCATAAATATGCGAAAATTATGCTTCAACCGTATTGCATATATTGCAAAAAAAGGTTGATACAAAGGCGCAGTTTGCCATTTAAATAGAACCTTTACTGCACGAAATGATTAAGCAAACCCTTTTTACTCCCTTTTTGCATTTGTTCAGTTCTCAACCCCTTGCAAGATGATAAAATCTGTCAACATTCACACGCTGTGAGTCCTCTAGGTTTCAATTTTAAAGTTTGCAATTAGAACTTCTATATATAAATTTGGCTTGTCTGTCTGTCTGTCTGTTTGTTTGTATCCAATAAACGTCAAAACGGCTGAACCGATCGGGCCCAAATTTTTTGTGGGACATCTAGGGACCCCAGGGAAGGTTTATGAATGATCAAAATTTCAAATATTTGTCTCCATCAAAATTCGATCTTCATTAAATTTTTGAAAATTTTGAAAATCCACGAAATTTTTTGTGAAAATCCGCGAATTATTTTTGTTTTGTTTACGATGTACACAAAGAGAACATGTTCACAATTAATTTAGAAGATGGGCGCGAAGCGCCCTCTAAGGCTAGTATTAACACATTTAAATGTTGATAAATATTTATTTAGCGCAGAATTCCTTGACCTTGTCAATATATACACCTGGTTTACAAGACAGAATACAAAGCGCCCTGTTACTGGAAAAAAACTAAATGCATTTCTTTACAAAACTGCACGTCACGAACTTGTCCTTCAAAAATCTGATGGAGAGGTCGAAACTTATAAATTACGGTTGATGAACAAGAATACTGAACCCTGAACCCGCGATTTAAAAACTTCGGCTCGTGCCGTAATTCCTTAAACCCGACTTTAAGACCCAATCTTCGACCCAACTCTGACGACAGCTTGTGTCACGTGATTGACAGCTGCAACATCTTCGGCTCGACTTAAGGAGTTAGGTCTAATGAAAATAAAACCGACCTTGGTTGGTTTTAGTGGAGAATATGGTTCAATGTTTAGTATTGTTCTCATAAAAACCCGGAATGTGTCAATTCCTACCATGAAAATCCGCCAAATAGAATATTAAACTGTTTTTTTTAACTCAACTCTGTAGAAAATAAGATGCAGCTTGAATCCGAAAGCTCAAGCCATTAATAAGGTCCAACGACAGTTTAGACCCAAGCCGTATTTTCCCGAATTTTTTAAATCGCGGGCTCAGAACCCTTTGTCAGAATACATTGCTATAGTTCTCTTCGTAAGGAATTGAGTCACAAACTCAAATTTTTAAACCCTTATCATTGCAACAGAATTAATAGTTTGAAAAATCTAAAGAATACGACATTGGGTTGGAAAGATAAATTTATAGTTTGATGCAAAGACTCGATTCATTTCAATTCCTTATACATTCTATACCATTATAGGTGTTTATGTTATGACAACGATTCTTTTTGATCATTTTCAAAGGTGATTTGTGGGGCCCCCTTGAAAACTANCTGTTAATTTTCCCCTTTTTCTAGAGTCCGTTAATTTCCTTTCTTATCAGTATTCTTTTCAATCTTTAGATTGTAATACATAGAATTCACAACATTTGCAATTACTCCTTGGAAAAATAAAACTTAAAAACTATCAAGATAAGCTGTTAATTCTGAATAGTTACAAAGAAGAATACGTTTTTTTACAAATAGTTGAAACACAAAGAGTATACGTGTTACGAATATAATAAACATTTAACAGTCGCACTCATTTCACTAATCAATCAATCAAATAATTCATGCCTCAACATACTTTATATGTATTTTAGTACATATATCTAACATGGCTGAAAAATTATACCGATTTAATAAGGACGTATTTCTAAATCGAATGCGACTATCAACTTCTGTGTATTATTTATTCTATGTTTCCTCCCTCCCCGGCCCCTACCTTGTTTGAACTGCATACAGACGACAGGGTTACCCTCCTCTACTATTGTGTTTAAGGCGTGGCTGGGAGGCAACTCTTCCTCTTTCTCAGATGTGTGACAGTCATCTATAAGTATGATGATGATAATTAATGACAATAAGACTGGAGAAGATATAAAGAGAAGAGAAGAGAGAGAAGACATAAAGAGAAGAGATGACGGAGAAGATATAAAGACCATACCCCTTACTCAGACTCCCAGGACATCACTTTTTAGCGCGGTAAATGTTTGATTCATTTGTTTATTTTGTATATGCTACCGTGACCCAGCCCAAGCCATGGAGACAACAATTTAAAACCCTGACGCTGAACAGCTTTGACCATGATCTAGACGCAACTTCAGTAAATTAGTAAATTCTCTTTCGTACGTGAGATTGTAAAGGTTTAAAATATAAAATGGTGGCGGGAAATTCTTGAATTCCACAAAATCTAACAATTATGAAATTGCGCACTTTTCCCCCACATAGTTTTGGAGGACAAACGGCGGGACCAGGGGACCAGCAGGGCCGTGACGGGGGAGGGGAGGGGGGGTAGTGAAAGGTGCATAGCAGCTTCCCGAGCTTCCCCCTTCGGAAAGTTCCCGAATATCCTGCGGGACCTGCGTAAATTTGCTTCTACGTTGTAATAAAAAATGGCGGGATATCTAATAATGTGATTTTATATTGGGGGCCAGCCCAATAGGGCAGTGCCCCCCCTGGAACTCAGCTAGATTACACTTTTCAATTTCCTTATTTACTGAAGGAGGAGAGCATGCGAAAATATTAGTTGCTGTTCACTGTTCAAACAGTTTTGTTTGAAGAAGAGTGAAGTAGTATTATAAGCAAGGTAATTGGACTGAATGTACATATAATACCTTTGAAGCTTCTATATTTATGAGATTATTAAGAATTGGGGGGGGGGGGGGTTTTTT